AGCTGGCTGCCAGGCCCTGCACGCTGCCTGCACGCGCGGGTTCCTGTGCCCACGTGCAGTCTGCTCTGCCTGCTTGCTGGGTCATCCCCAGCCACCCGGGGCGGCCTGCTAAAATTTTTGTTTTTCCTTCTCCCATTTAAGCTCTTTTGATTCTTGTCACTTGCAACCCAGAAGAAGTAGAAGGAGAGAATTTTAGGAACTGAGTTTATTAAAATTCCTGTGGAACATTTCAGTTCAGTAAGGGAACCACCTTCTCTGCTAGCTATGAGCAAAAACACTCAAAATATAAGTGTTTTTATTAGATCCATCTTAGTTCTTGGACTCAAGATTGTTCCTTCCCTTTTCCCATAGCTCTCTGACCTTGGGCAAATTAGCTTAACTTCCCTGAACTTCATTTTTCCCCTCTCTAAAATGGGTCTAACCACATATGCCTCAAAGTATTGCTGGGAGGATTTCATGTGATGGTAATATTAATAGTAGTAATCATAAGGTAAGATTTTTCTATTATGTATCAGTTATTGTTTTGGGATCTTAGTGTGTTATCTTATTTTAGGTAGAGGGTTTTAAAGCAGAGCAGCAAGTATTCAATAAATACTGATTGTATCTTGAATCTTTTCACATCAGTTAATCCTATTTCTTATCCCAGTTATCCTATTTCTTATAGTTCATTACTTACATATTTATTTTTAGCATATCTAACTTCTGTATAATTCACCACTTAATGAAAACTTTGGAGTACAAATCAGAATGAAAATCTGGTTCTACAGCTGAACTAGTTTTAAGTTTTACCTGTACTGTACCCTGGTTTCCTCATGTACAACAGGGATGCTGATGTCCAATTCTCCAGCAGTCAAGAAAGTTACACGAGGTAACCCCTGTCGGGCGGCTGGCAGAGCGCAGGCATGGGCTGTGAGGTTCTCTCTCATCTCTCTCCCCGCACCACTCCCAGTAGCACTCCCTCCTCCTCTGGCTGGCCTCCAGGCTATTTCATTTTGTTTTAATGATTCTTTTGGTCATACATTTGAGGACACTCCTGCAAGACAAAGATTCTCTCTGTTTAACCTTTTGTGTAGCATCTCATCCTTTTGTCTAGGCCACAGAGTAGCAACGGTAAGAGGCACATAGAAGTTTCTCAGGAAATACTGAGCAGGATTGAAAGACTCAGGAATCAAACTAGCTGCTGTTTGCCATCAGGCTGACTTTCTTTCTTAGCCTGAGGAAGGTGGCTGTGTGTTCATGGAAGATAAATGCATTACTTTTTAAAGAGACATTTTTTAAGCAGACAAGGCTGGTAGAACTTGAGGAAAAGGTAACTTGGGAGATTCTGATGGGCGGTGTATCAGTTTCCTAGGGGTGCCACAGACCAGATGGCTTAAACAACAAATTATTTCCTTCTAATTCTGGATGCAACAACTTTAGTTTATTCTAAGGACTCTCTCCTGGGCTTGTAGATGGCTGTCTTCCTTTTGTGTATTCACATGGTCTTCACTCTGCATGTCTGTGTCCGAATTTCATCATCTATGAAAATAACAGCCATATTGGATTTGGGCCACACATGCGACCTTTTACCATAATTCCCTCTTTAAAGGCACTGTCTCCATGTACAGTCACATGCTGAGTACTAGAGGTTAGGACTTCCAACATATGAATTGGAGAGGAGTGTGGGGGTGTTGACATTCCATTTAGCCTGTAACAGGTGGCAACTTGAGAGCTTAGCAAGAAAATATGCTTCTCCAAGAAAATGAGTGACTGTTCTGTTGAGTCAGTGCTAGTAAAAAGTTTAGATGATTTTATTTGTTGTGATTTCTGAAAAAACAAAACAAATATTTCTAAACAGCACTTACTAAGACTTAACCTGACTTTTCTCTTTATATTATTTTTAGTCTATGTAGATAAATCTTACTGTTTAGCATCTACTTTTTTCTCACATTTGAGTATCATGCTTAGCTCATAGAATGTGTCAGGAAATAATTGTTGAATTGAGTACAGGGATTTGTCTGCCTCTGGACATAGTCACAATTTCATTCACCCCAAAAGGAAATGAAACTTTCTTTTCCATGGTCATTTGTGAAGACTGAAGGCACATTTTATTGCCTCAGGATTTTGGGACTTATTAACTCTTTCTAATGTCTAAATTCTGTTACAGTAATACATTTCTTTGTCAACCATATTTTCTAAAAACAGTTATTGCCACCATATCCTGAGTTGCTTATTATTTTGTACATTATTATAGCTTCAGACCTTCTTATTCTTTGGGGGAACATAGGCATGATTTCCTTAGATACATCAAAACTGAATTGATAATTGCATATGCTGCAATTTGTGTTACAGAAGAAAAATAAAATATTCACATACTTTTTTATTTTTATTTTTGTTTCTGATTTCTGAATTAATAATCCATAAAAATATTTTTTATAATAAGGTAGGCCTTGGTTGCTAAGGGAGCCTGGTTTCTGAAAGTGTCCCAAATAACATGTATGCAAATAGGTCTTTCACAAATACCACAGAATAAGTTAATTAAAAATGGGGCTGTCGAATGATTTTCATATATACAAGCAATTTGTAGTTTCAAAAGAGATACTTAGTTTTCTAAGTAGAGACATATTTTTTTGAAGGGTAATTTATACTTTACATTTATTATTTTAAAGAGTGATAATACATATTAAAAAATACAGTAATAAAAAGATAATGTTTCAGCCTTGTACTCTTATTTTTGTTTTTCTTTTTCCCTTGACTAGAATCTGTCTTAATCTTTGTTAGTACTTTTTACCCAACTTATTTTTTTTAAGTGCTTTGTTTTAACAAGTCGGAAATATAAAATGAAAATAATTTCTTTTCATTGTAACTACTCCTGTTTATACAAACCCAGAGTTGTTCTCTGTAGTTACTGAGAGCCCTGTTCTTGTTTACTACACTGGCCAAGGCTATGTGGCTTTTTGACCATTAGACATTTTTATAAGTGACTGAAATAATGAAGGTAAATTTCAAGAAAACAAATACTTTGCTTCCGTGGACCTTAACAGTGTCCAGTGCAGTACTGAAATGAAGGTTCCATGAAAAATAAACTTCTGGAACATGCCATGCTTTTTTATTAATAGCCAGTGCAGAGTGGGGGGAAAGAAGACACTGTATACATATATAGAATAATATACATTTAGATCAGATAGTGGGAAAAATTCATATTTAAACTAAAATTGTACAGTGTTTGCTACCAAATACAAATTTGTGCTCTGTCTTTTAGGCAATAGAGGATGCTTTAACAATATTATTAACACATACATTAGAATTTCGAGAGTTGTGGTTTAAGCACCATTCCGCATACACCCATAAATTGGCAGCCATGCATTCATTAAATGAGATGAATGTGATTAGCTTGCCAAGGCCCAGAAGAGATTACATGTATTAAAGAATAAATAAAAACTATGTCTTGAGTATTAGTAGGGGGTATAACTCAGAATCTTAATTTTAAGGAGTTAATATTGTGTTATTAATGAACTGTTAGCATAGTTAATTCTGAACTTAATGTTAATTGGTTCATTAATAAACCCAGATTTTGTTAACATAAATAGTAGTGGTTGTTAATTCAAATTAACCTTCTTCATTTAAGTATAGACTAACATTAATAAACTTGCCTATTGTATCAAATAATATTTAAAAAATGAAGCTTAGTATAAATTTTTTTCTTAGAATGATTTAGACATGACGTAAGTCACTTTATTTCATCCTATAATCAGCCTCCTGAGGTGTAATGAGAAATCCATTTCAATATACAAGTTTAATTTTCAGTGTTTTTTGTTTGTTTGCTTGTTTGTTTTTAAGTTTTTTACAGTGTGTGTATCTGATTGTCTTGAACACTTGATTATACCAGCCTGTGTCTTTGGCAGCCTGGTCCTGATTCAGGTTTACTCTTAACCGTCACTGACCCTTCCTCGCCCAACTCTGGCCCAGCAGCCATTCTCTCAGCTGTCCCAGGCCTACCCATTCTCCAGGACCCTGAAGCTGTCCCTGATTCTGCCATTCCATACTTTCATTCTCTGTACTCCACAGCTTTTTCTATTGATTATGGTATCTTTTGTATTAGTTCTTATCTGTATCCCAACTCAATTTCTTGTAGAGTACATAGCACAAAATTGGCTTCAGAGACAATAAATATTGGCACTGTAATGACTTTGTTACCTTCTTTGGGTAAATTTAAAAACATTTGAAGAAAGAATCAATAGACTGTTGATTGGCTAATCATGCTCATAGCAGGTCCCCCATCCTAGTGTCTCACTTAGTAACACTCATTACATCATCAGGGCATCTTGGGAGGAAGAGAGTCCTCCTTGATTTGGTATTGCTCATGTTTTTCATTTCTTGGAATCCCTCATTTCATCCACATCCTTGGTCCCAAATTAAATGACCTTTTGGTCCTCTATGGCTCCTGGAGTTAATGTTCCCTTTGTTTCCTAAAGCCCTGTGATGATGGAACAGTGCATGCAAAAATAGGAATGGGGTCGAGTGTTATCAGGGAGATACAGAAACTCAGCCCCATAAAACACACTTACATAGCTTAGAGTGTCTGTTCTTTCTAGAAAACCACTGAACTAATAGTTATATTCAGAGTCATTCCTAAAATCAGATTAAGCACACATTAAATCCACTTGTCTTGGACGAAATATTCAAAAGTCTTCTTCCAAGTCTTAGAAAATTTTCTGAGACAGTTGAGATTTATCATCAATCTGTTGATCTCTCCAAAAAGTTTAATTCTGTGTAATCAGAATCAGGTGGTTGATGAAAAGTTTATTTTCAAAAATTTTAAGGGTTTCGATGTTATTACTTCTAAAACTCATTTAACCGGTTGAATTGGAGAACCAGATTTCAACATGTACCAATTTTATTTTTGCCTGTGGAGGAGAGAAAATTAAAATTAAGGGGGGAGTAATTAAATACTGCATGTATTCCAAGGATGTTTGCTAATAATACATACTACACCCTTTCTTTTTTGCTCCTTTCTTTAGGTGATTGAAGATAACACTGGAGTCCGCCGGGTGGTGGTCACACCGCAGTCTCCTGAGTGTTATCCCCCAAGCTACCCCTCAGCCATGTCTCCAACCCATCACCTACCCCCCTACCTGACCCACCACCCGCATTTTATTCATAACTCACACACGGCTTACTATCCACCTGTTACTGGACCTGGAGATATACCACCTCAATTTTTTCCTCAACATCATCTTCCCCCTACAATATACAGCGAGCAAGGTAAGATTATTATTGGCATTGGGAACTGTTGAAACTGGTTACAACAGCTCTGTAGCTCCAGAGAGCCTTTGTTTCTTCTGTAATCAGCGTGGTAGAAAGAGATCTAACTGCTGGATAAAGCTCCCGGAAAATTCCTAGCTACCTTTGTCCTGAATTGTATCTTGCAAAACTTTCTGTCTTTGTATTTTCCAAAATTCTGTCCCCATCCCATGCCACACAGAGCAGGGAGTGGGGTCAACCGCTTCTTATTTTAGTGAAGTCAGTGATCTATCATACATTCCCACATCCTGTTTGCCTATTTTTATGTGAGGGTAGGCTGGGGCAGAAGTGCAGCACATTATTTGTTAGGCATCTGCATGGTCTGGCAGAAGAAGGGAAATTAAGTGTTTTGTGCCCCATTTCCAACAGTAGAAGATTGTGAGGTCTCAGTAACCTTTGGGCTTCCTAGATGTTCTATGTTGTAATTGTGGCAGAACTTGGAACCCCCTCACTGTTGATGTGGTCCTCCTGAACCCTGTTTTTAGTTTAAGAAATAGCCAGTAGTGTAGCCACAGTTTTACTAGTTGTTAGGCAAATTCTTACCTTGAAATGAAAGTCTCAGAAATACTGATACTATATCTTCTTAGGTTGGGCCTTGGGGTTGGTTTAGTCTAAAGCCCTTTTCTATCAAAATGGATACTAAGAAACCAGATAAGTGAGAGTTAAAAATTAGACTTCAACCTCTAGGACTTTGCAAAGAGATTTTCTTCTGAGTCGGACTATAAACTGAAGCATTTTACCACTTCAAACATTTATTATGTTGGTTCAGATAACTTGTATGAGAAATGTCTGTTACACCACAGAGATTTAGAGCAAGTTATCACTTCACTTGCTCTCATCAATTAAACATATATATTTCTCCCTGTATGTTTATCTCATGTTGTAATTTTTTCTTATTAACAAAAGAAAAATTTGAAAGGGGTATTTTAAGTGAAATACCCTGTTGTAGCTTTAAGGGTAGAACTTGATTTGTTTTTTTTGTTTTTTTTGAAATAAATTTACTGTAATTTGAAAGAATCAGGTGCTGTCTTAATGGAATGTAGAGTGTTGGTAGCAAAAGATGAAATCAGTACTTTGATTTTATAGATGCATCAATAACTTCCTATTAACAAAGTCTTCTTGCCTATTGATATGGCACCCCAAAACATAAGATAATGGGCATATTCCATGGAAATGTTTGGATAACAACTGAAAAAATTCAGTGAATTAATTGTAATTGTTAAAAAAGTATTCAGTGCCCTAATAGAATATACAATAAATATTTGAGTGTCAGTTTTCTCTTTGGGTCTGGGCTTAATGACATTGTGAAAATGAAAAGCCTTGGCTGTTGACTCAGTGCTTAAATGAAGAGTGTCTGACCTGCCTTAATGTAGTGGTCTGTTAGTAGGATGCTGCATAATTAATGTTTGGTAAATGGTGTCCTTTGCCATGTTAGACAACAGTATGATTTAAGTTCTCATTAGTATTAAGTACCCCTAAAAATTATAGTGCCTTCATTTCATAGGATATTTTGGATTAATTTCATTGAAATAACACAGAGCAATTATGTACAAATAAAAGTGCCTTCGTTGATTTCAAATTAAAGAAAGCAGAAAACAAAATCTCCTTGGTTTATAAATAAAAAGCCATATATATTCTCTTAACCTTATTTCTCAGTGTACATACCTAAAAGCAATTTAAAAAGTTAATTTCCCAAACCATAAGAGTTTTAAAAGTTCTCAACACTTTGAAAGATTATTGTATTAGTGCCCAGAGTGAATATTTTGAATTTCAAGTGTAATGCATTATAATATTTAAAACATTTACCATTCCTTCTGTATATTTGGACATAATTTTTCTTGGTATATATGCTCTTAGAATAGAGTTATATTTGTTTTTTCACATTCTTTAGTGCAAATTGATTATCTTTTGAATATCTTTTTTTAAAGACCTTTGTTAAGCTATGTGAACAGAAAGAAAATGGAAAGCGGGTTTTCCCATTGAACAATCAAAACATACAGTTGTTGAATTACGTAGGATGACTGGACAGCCCTCGTTTAGGTCTCCCATCCAGAGATGTGATCAGGAGCACTTCCTTTTCACTCTCAGAAGTATTCAGGTTTAGGTGGTAATTTATACAGTCACTCTTTGCATGTGGTACTCTTTCTTCTTTATAAACATGTAAGGATCCAATCTATGTTATATATTATCATTTTTATTAATGCCTAAATATAATTTTTAATTAAAAATTTAAATTTAAAATAAGTGTTTTCCTCTAAGATCATGAAATTATTTTGCAGCTCCTATTTTTCTTTTGAGCCACTTTAAAACATGCATAGTGAAGCCAAGTGACATTCCTACTAGTCGGTTTGTCTTGCCTCCTGACTACTCCAAATTAGAAGTTGTAGACCACAGTTTATTATGTTTGGCAGCAGGTTGCAGAGGTGGTGTATATTTACCCCTGCAATTTCTCCTTGAACATTTCCCTTCATCCTCTGAGCTTTGTTTATTTTTAATGGAAATTTCTCATCTCATCACTTTAGTAGTTTTGTTCAGTTGTTGGCTTTTTTTAGATGCTACAAATAACTTCTTATTTTCTGGTTCCTATATGATTTCCAGTAGAAATGCTGTTCTATCTGCAAGGATAGTATACTTTTAAGTATGTTGAGTCTCAGGACACATTTACAGGAGTATTTGTTAGTTATAACTTGTTTTGTATATTGCCACTACTAAAAACATTTTGACAGGCAAAATAAAACAATTGTAAATTCAACTAGAATATGAACTCTTTGTGGACCGTAACCTTGTCTTTGTGAGTATTCTCCATAATTTCTGGAACATTCCTGAACACACTGCATGGTTTTTAATGATTAATTATTCCTTGATTGCTTAGAAATGAAGATATTTTAAACACATGTAATATATATGTCATTTTCTTAAAAATATGTTTTGTACTGTATTTAGTAATATTTTAAATGTCTTCCTTCAGTAGTCAGGCATTTGACCATTTAATAATTTCTTGTTGATAGTATAGACTGAGCTTGCATTTGCCATAATCATCCTTTGTAGAAATTATACCACTCTATGGAATGTCAAGCTACATTACGCGAGAAGACCAGTACAGCAAGCCTCCACACAAAAAACTGAAAGACCGCCAGATTGACCGCCAGAATCGCCTCAACAGTCCTCCGTCTTCTATCTACAAAAGCAGCTGCACAACCGTGTACAACGGCTATGGGAAGGGCCACGGTGGCGGAGGCGGTGGTGGCGGTGGCAGTGGTGGTGGGCCCGGGGTTAAGAAAACAGAGCGGCGAGCGAGAAGCAGCCCCAAGTCCAATGATTCAGACTTGCAAGGTAATGTGCAAAGAAACATCCTTATGCAATGATGTTACTTCACAGTGTTTGTTTTTTCTGCTAGGATTGGTTGATAGACCTGCTCTGATCTTTCCAAGGGCAGAACATTAAATCATCCCTGTTTTATTAGTATGTCATGGGAGAAATACTATTTTTTGGTCACATGTGCTATGTAACAGTCTACTTGTTCTTATTAACAAATATTGGAAATGTTTTCACATTGGCCCATTTGTATTGTTTCACTCTAAGTAGACAGATGTGGAAAAGATCCAAAGTAAAACAATTTTTCTAAGAAGTATAGGGCTAGCTTACATCTCAGAATAATTACACCTCATAAAATCAGATGTAATTACTTCCATTCTGTGGTGAAATTTATCATTGTGTAACTGGAATATATTTCTGTTTAGGTTCAGTCATCTATTATTGTTTAATGCCCCTTTTGGCATCCTGATGAAGTATTCATAGACCAAGAATGAGATGGAAGAATTATGGTCCCCACTAGATAAAGAGACATCTGAAAAGGGCTGCTATTTCTTTGTCGATTAATCTTGTGGCCATAGATCAGTAACTTGGGGAAAAAGGTATATGCGTTTTAGGTTAAGTTTTGAAGTAAGATTTAGTCTGTTTCGATGCCACAGGAGTCTTTTTATAAAGGCATATATAGGAAACTGACTTACATGTAGCAGAAAAAGGTAACATTTTGTAAACTCACTTCAAAGTGAGTTTACAGTTTGTAAATAAAGGCATGAACAACTAACTAAAAGACAGGATGAGAACTGATTAGCGCACTAATTAGGTATGCCCTTTCTTATTGGACTTCCTCTAGGTAGAAATAGGCGCTATGTATGTGAGAATGTTTATGAATGAAAGAGAGGGAAGTTGTGTATGTCTGTGTAGGATAAACTAAACTCTTTTAGGACAGAAGGAAATTAGTTAAATCCAGACATTGGCACCAACATTTCCCCTGTATACATGAGAAAGGAATAGTAAGGTACAGTGAAAAGTGAATAGTAGTTCTCTCTGAGTGAAATGTACTATGTTATTTTATTTTTATTCTTTATTTTCTTCAATTATCGTGCATTATTCTTATAATTATTAAAACATAAACATATATATAAAGGAGACCCAAGGTTCAAGAGGCCTTTAAATAGCTCTTAATGGAAAGCACTATCTGTTGTACAAAATAATTTGGAGTGAAATAACAATTTCTAAGTTTGAAATTAGATTACTAGTAATTTTATAACTTTAACCCATGGGCATATAAAAGAATTCACATACAAAATGATAGAAATAGGTTTTCCTAAGGATAATTTTAGTCCATAGAAAAGAGGAAAAGAATGTGTAAACTGCCTTCAGAGAGCTCATGAAATATGAAATATCTTCATTACTGGTTTGTTCTCTTATAGTTTTTGCCCTGCCTTTTGCCAAAAAAAGATTTAAGGCAGGTGACATGGATACATATAATACGAGCAGATAAAATTAATTTGAATAAGATCTTAGGGGCAAAGAGAATAAGGGAAGGAAAATAAGGTGAAGTAGGGGTGAAGTTAGCACATAAAATTGATATAGTTATGAATGAATTATGGCAAAAGTAAATACCTTCCTAATATAGGCATTTATTTCGTATCACATATGCCTAAATAGGTAAGCTGCTCTTTATTTTAATATTCTCATAGCTGTATGGATTTGCATTGAAAAATAAACTGAAGTGTTTCCTAACATGAATGTTTACAAGCATTTTGCCTTAGTATAATAATTTTAAGCACCTAAAACTCTTTGCTATTGTGTAAGAAACATGCAGTTGTGTTGGTAACAGTGAGATCACTTTTGCTATGGAATGTGTGTTTCACAATGAGAAGATTTTCTAAATTTTTATCTCCATGCTAGCCTGACTTTGGTCTGTTTCTCCTTTTCCTCTCATTATTTGCCTTCTTGAAACCACTCACAGTGCTACTTTTCACATGGTTTAGCCATGAAATAAAGAATCAGATAGAGTATTACTTTATGAACTCTAGCTCATTTCAGTGAAGATCTAAGAGGGTTTACATGTTACCCAAATGAATTGGAGACTTAGATGCTGACAAAAATCTGCACACGAATGTTTATGACAGTGTTATTCATAATTGCCAAAACTTGGAAACAACCAAGATATCCTTCATTAAGTAAAGGGATAAACTGTCCCGGCAATGGAATATTACTCAGCACTGAAAGAAATGAGCTATCAAGCTATGAAAAGATGTGGAGACACCTTAAATACATGTTACTAAGTGAAACAAGCCAATCTGAAAAACTGTATACTGGGTTATTCCAGCTGTACATACTGTATGATAGGAAAAGGCAAAACTATGGAGGCAGTAGAAAGACCTATAGTTGCCAGGGATTGGGGCAGGGAGGTGATGAACAAGCAGAGCATGGAGGATATTTAGGACAGTGAAACTACTCTGTATGATACTGTAATGGTAGATACATGCCATCACATGTTTGTTAAAACTCAACGTATAATACCAAGAGTTAGATATACCCCAGTATAAACTACATGTTCTGGGTGATGGTGATGTGTCAGTGTAGGTTCATCAGTTGTAACAAATGTACCACTCTGCTGTGGGGTTTTTTGATGGGTAGGGCAGGCTCTATGTATGTGAAGGCCAAGTATACATAGGCACTCTCTGTGTTTTACGCTCAGTTATGGTGTCAACCTAAAACTTCTCTAAAAAGTAGTCTATTAAAAAAATCTGAGGACAAATAAGATGAAACATGAGTAAGACAGAAGTTGTTTGATAGAGGCCATCTTTTGGCTTTGAGCCTCCTGGTTATTGAAGCAAAGACGGAAACATGAATCAGGTGGAATAGGTGAACAAAAGGACCTCTTGTTTGTGAAATCCATTATGTTCATAATGCCTCAGTCCTGTCTGCCTCAGAACATGGTTATTAGCGAAAATGATCCCAAAAGACTTCTTTCTGCCTGTTCGTAAATGGGAGCATTCTCTCAGGGTTTTTTTTTGTTTTTTGTTTTTTTGCTTGAATTTACTGCAGCTAACTTCTGTACCCAAGAAACAAGTCTCTTAAATAATTCTTAGGTTTACAATGCCACCTGATTAATATTAAGCTGTAGTTAGTACTAGTGTGATTGACCTGTTATGTTCATATGTGGTTTGTGCAGGAATAGGGTATATGCTTAACGATGACATGTGGTTGTGATATTTTCCTACATTCTGCTTATATTAAGATGTCTGCATTACCAAAGGAGGCCAACCTTTTTACCTCAGAATGCCTTAGCTTTTGAGGGAATCTACTTGAGTTTCTTCCCTTTTTACCAGTTACATAATACCTAAATGTTTTTAGAAAAATAAAGGCAAACTTAATATTTCTGTCTGGTCTGTGATAAAACACATAAAAGAAGGAAACAACTTACAAATGATCTAAACAAATAAATATATTGAAGAGAAGGAGATAGTTATTCTCTTGCAACCTGCTTCTCTCAGTTGACTGTTCTTAAACACCAGTGTAACTTCAAAAAAATACAGATCCCTAAACTCCCTTTCAGACCTATTAGGTCAGAATTTCTTTACCTGATCTGGCTTCATGTTTTTTTATCAAACCTCCACTGGGAGTGATGGTCAACCAAGATAGAGAACTACTGTTCAAATATAAAGGATGGCTGTGGAAGGTGTGGTTCACTGAGTCATACACGATAGGAGGTAAGAGCATTGTTTAGTTCATCATTCTCTCTGCACCTCCTGGAACTGTATCTGGCACATAGGCACTCAGTAAATATTTATGGAATCAATCCTGTATTCTTAATTGCACCTTTTCCTTTTTCTAGAACAAATTACTGCACTGTTCAAGGATATTGCTCTGCAGCCAACCCCTCCTTTAATTTACTGTTATCTTCAGGAATACACTGGAGGCCCTCAAAGTCCCACAGTACCCTCAGAGAAATGCAGGACTCCTGTTACCTTGCACTACCTTAAAGTCAGTGGTGTGATGTGGGTAGAGGACAGTTCAGGTTTTGGTATCAGACTTTTTTGGGCTTTGTCACTTGCCATTTGTTTTGAGTACTCCCTGAATCTGTGTCCTCCTCTAAAAAATGGCTATTTTAATTCCCATTACTAAATATTAAAAATAACCTAGCTTGGTTCTTAACACCTCAGTATAATGGTCACCCTTCTTAATTGAATATTCTTACTGTCTCCCTCCTGTAATCCCAGGATCACCTCTCATTCAAGATACTCTGCCTTCCCAATACACGTATCTTTCTACCCTCCCATCTGAGGGGCCTTCCTTCTTCTCTTACGCCTTCCCCCGGCAGCCACAAGGGGCTTCCTTCTGCTTAAACCCACCTTGCATTTGAAAGCTAAACCCAGCCCTCCTGGACCCCTACCTCCGAAAGTTGTATCCAGGCCCCTGGAAGAGGTTGCTACTGGCTAAAAGTGTGCCACGCACCCTGAGGTCCAGATTTTACATATCTGCTGTTGTTTCATTATGGTGTACGTACAGCCCAGAGAACTCTGGATGTCTTCTTGGGACGTCCTTTATCATCTTTTGCTTCTCCTCATGCATTTCTTACAAGTTTGAGTTGTTCTCTTTGCTAAGTCTGTGGTTGATAAACCTTCCAAAAGGACCACCTTGTTTTTTAAGATGCATGATTATCCATTTTCCTCTCTATCCTATCCTCTCCTTTATGGCTTCAGCCACATCAGATCCAAACATGCCATTTCCCCACTTTAGGAACTCCATGGTGATCCCTATTGTCCAGAGAATAAAGTATAAACTGCTTAATGTGGCACTCGCCTCCCAAAGTACTTCAAATTTTCCCACTAGACACCCAAAGTTGTGCCCCATTTCATGAGTATGCCTCATTCTCTTCTTCTGGCCTGTCCTTCTGGTCCCTCTGCCTAACAAGCTCCAATTTGTCAAGAACTAGCTGAGATGTCACCTCCTTGGGGTGAAGCCTGCCTATCTCCCCAAGGCATAATAATGGCAGATTAGGGGAAAATTCT